TCCCCATAGCCAATGTCACTTGGGACCAGTTTCAACAAGCTTTCCGTACATCCCATGTCTCAACTGGAGCCATGAATATGAAGAAGCGTGAGTTTCGTAACTTACGCCAGGGGAACCGTACTGTGGCTTAGTACGTGGATGAGTTTAGCAAGTTATCTCGCTATGCCCCTGACGATGTGGCCACAGATGCTGCGAAGCAGGAGAAGTTTATGGAAGGGTTGAATGATGAGATGAGTATGCAGTTGATGGTAGCAACCTTCAACAACTACCAGGAGTTGGTAGATAAGGCTCTTATGATTGAAGGGAAGCAGCAGTAGATTGAGAGCTGTAAGAGGAAGTATGGACAAGGGAGGTATAACTCAGGAGCTCAGCGGAAGCCTCGCCTAACCCCGAATTCGGGAGGACTTGTTCATAACCACACCGGAGGTGGATCACATAACCACAATGGTCCTAAGAATGGGAATGGGAATGGAGCTAACAATAATCAGAACCGCCCCAATCCAGCCACACCCGCCAAAAGATACCTAAGTCACGTTACTTGCTTCAAGTGCGGGAAGACGGGACACTATGCCACGGAGTGCCCTGAAGGAAAGAATGGAAATGGAAATAGGAGCTCTAGGAATAAGCCCAATCCATTCAACAAAGGACAAGTGAACCACGTTAACATGGAGGAGGTTGAAGAGCAGCCAGACGCGGTTATAGGTAAGTTTTTGGTTAAGTCATTTACCGCTCTTGTTCTATTTGAGACTGGTGCATCGCATTCATACATATCAAGGGGATTCATGGATAAGTTTAAACTACCAGCCCAAACCCTTAGGACCCCTCTCTTAGTGAGTTCACCTGGAGCAGAATATATGGCTAGTCGATGGTGCGACCAGATACCCCTAACCATTGGCACCCATGTTTTTCTGTCCGACCTAATTATCTTGGAGTCACAAGGATTGGATGTGATATTAGGCACGGACTAGATGTCAAAGTATGGAGGAAGTATTGACTGTGCTAGTAAGTCGATTTATCTCACCACCCCAGAGGGAAAAAGGATTAAGTATGTATCTAGGCATGTGCCTAGAAGCAGCCAAGTGAATACCCTCACGGGAGTTGTTCAGGAGGAAGTGCCTGTAGTGAAAGATTACCCGGATGTTTTCCTAGAAGAGTTACCAGGCATGCCACTGGATCGAGACATTGAGTTTTTGATAGAGCTATTGCCAGGAATAGGGCCAATATCCAAGAGACCCTATCGGATGCCCGCGAATGATCTGGAGGAGATTAAGAAATAGATCAAGGAGTTATTGGAGAAAGGTTACATTCGAAGGAGTTCATCACCTTGGGGAGCCCCAGTGTTGTTGGTTCAGAAGAAGGATAAATCCCTAAGAATGGTTGTTGATTATCGGGCCTTGAATGAAGTAACGATTAAGAACAAGTACCCACTGCCGATGATCAACGATCTGTTTGATCAGGTGCAAGGAGCTAAGGTGTTTTCGAAGATCGATCTGCGATCGGGATACCATCAGTTGAAGATTCGAGAGAAGGATATAAGGATATACCAAAGACAACGTTCACCACGCGGTACGGATTATACGAGTATACGGTCATGTCGTTTGGACTGACTATCACCCCTGCCTATTTCATGAGCATGATGAACAAGGTGTTCATGGAATATTTGGACAAGTTCATTGTGGTGTTTATTGATGATATCATGGTATACTCGAAGAATGAAGAGGAGCACAAGGAGCATTTGCGTTTAGTTCTCGAGAAACTCAGGGAACATCAGTTGTATGCCAAGTTCAGCAAATGTGAGTTTTGGTTGAAGGAAGTTGGATTCCTTGGACATGTTATATCAGGAGAAGGTATAGCAGTAGATCCTAGCAAGGTTCAGTTAGTCACTGAATGGTTGGCACCCACTTCAGTTAGTGAGATCCGCAGTTTTCTTGGACTCGCAGGATACTCCCGGAGATTCATTGAAAAAAATTCCAAGACTGCGAAGCCAATGACTGAACTATTGAAGAAAGATACTAAGTTTAAATGGACGGAAGATTACGAGGCAAGTTTCTAGGAGTTGAAGAAACGTTTGACTACAGCCCCAGTGCTGACACTGCCAGATATACGTAAGGATTTCCAAGTGTATTGTGACGCCTCTCGCTTAGGACTTGGAAGCGTGCTTATGCAGGACGGAAGAGTTGTTTCGTACGCCTCACGACAACTAAAACCACACAAGTTGAATTATGCCACGCATGATTTGGAGCTAGCAGCCGTAGTGCATGCGTTGAAAACTTGGAGACATTACCTCATTGGAAACCGTTGTGATGTGTACACGGATCATAAGAGTTTTAAGTACATCTTCACACAAAAGGAGTTGAACCTTAGGCAGAGGAGATGGTTGGAGCTTATAAAGGACTATGACATGAAGCTGCATTATCACCCAGGAAAGGCCAATGTCGTAGCAGACGCCTTGAGCCAAAAGTGTTATGCTAATATCCTAGAGAGCAAGGGATTGCCAAAGGAGTTAGCAGAGGATATCATGGAGCTTCGATTAGATATTGTTCCTAGAGGTTTTGTTGCAACAATGGAGGTTCAGTCTACATTGTTGGGCAAGATACGAGAAGCTCAGAAGGATGACAAAGAGATTGCCGAGATAAAGGAGAAGATGAGCAAAGGAAAGGCCAAAGGTTTTTGTCGGGGATATACCCCGCGGTATGACCCGGCCGAAAGTATGACCCGGCCGGACTTGGCGCTTCACCGATGACCCGCCGGAGGACTGGCGACTCACGGGTCTGGCGGCTCACTGGTCAGACGACTCGAGGATGACCCCGACGGCGGGTCACATAGATGACTAGGCCTAAGGCCCAGTAGGCCGGCTCATATTATGGTGGGTCGGCTTAAGACAAAAGGCATGAGGAATATTTCCTTTACGAGGAAGCAAGACCCGTACTTGTATCCGACTTGTAAAAGAGAATAAGTTAGTTCTAATCCTAATAGGACTCTACATGTAAGCCGCCCCTTCAACTTATATAAGGAGGGGCAGGGCTCCCCAAAGAGGGAGAAGGAACAAGAAAGAAAATAATCTCTAGGGCTAGACACAAAGAGCCGGCTTACCGGTGACTCACTACAGGAATTAGGTAATTTGTCGTCTGTGCTTCACAGACGGCAAAGACAGAAAACATGACGGCAAACAGTTTGCCGTCAGCAGCTAACGGCAAAGTGTGTCGGCAAATGGTAAATCGGCAAAGCCATACTTTGCCGCCAGCTTTCTATCGGGCTGACAACAAAGGCTTTGCCGTCAGTTTTCACACTTCACCGTCAGCCGTTATAGCCTGATGGCACAGAAAAGCACTTGACAGACACCCTATCGGATGGCGTCAGATACTTTGCTGTCAGCCTCTGGACGGCAAAAAGCTGAGCACTTTAGCGTCAACAGCAGTCAGTCTACAAACGGCAAAGATCTAAGCACTTTGCCGTCAGCAGACAGATGGCAAAGTACTCATTTGCTGATGGAAAAATTCTGTACAGATTTTTTTTAAAGAAATTTATCTCAACAATTCAAAAGACCATATATATCACAAATAAAACAGCAATGTTCCACAGAAACAAAACAAACCATAGCAAATGTCCATATATATATATATATATATCATAGGGTATCACAAAGTGTTGCATATGAGATCACAAAGTAGATTAAACCATCACAAAGTATCACATCTAGCTGGGCATCTTCCAGTCATGTACTACTCCCGGAATTAGCCTCACGACCATCAGCTCTACACACACATGCTAAACTCCAACTATGCTACTCGAAAGGAAACCACACACAACTACTCTCTATGTCAAGGAGATTAAAACACCACATCAGGTTGACTGTAGCTCCGTGCAACCAATCAACGTTGCTGCTCCATCCCTTATTCACATGTCCACTGCAATTAACCAAACAAGAAAGAGGTTCAGACTTAGATTCATCATATCAAATAGATTCAGACTCGAGAGCATCATTCATCATACTAAAGGCATTTTTTGTCAGTCAAATAAACTTGTCAAGCATATAACATCATCCTAATAGACAAGAACCTGTTGACACCAAATCTGAACTAGCCTAGTACAGGAATAAATATGACATGTAAAACAGCTCCTCCTAGTACATGAACAGCTCCTAGTACACATCATTTAGCAGGAGCAAACATGACATGCAAAACAGGAGCAAGTATTTACATGCAGAGCAGCAGGAGCAAATTAAATATTTGTTAGAACCAAATCTGAACTAGCCACATACATGTACAACAGCTCATCAGGAAAAAGAGCAACATGAGAGGAACCTAGTGGCCTCATACAATTCAATCAAGCAGTATATCAACCACAAGAATACAAACCAGAGCAGAGCATGCATAAGTTGGGGAAATAAAACATAGTCGAGAGGGAGGGATCGACCTTCCCTGGTGGTTGGTCATCGGCTCGGCCGTGGGGTCATGTATTGCTCATCGTCCTTGTCTATTTTGTTCATGGACAGCGCCCACCCGCAGCAATTAACCAAAAAGGAAAAAGGTTCAGACTTAGAAATTCATCGTATCAAATAGATTCGGACTCGAGAGCATCATTCATCATACCGAAGCCATTTTTTTCAAACATATAAACTTGTCAAGCACTTCACACACTGAATAAGACACCCCCTTATCATCTAAATCTTGAGAAATCAGAGGCCCAAAGAAAAACTTTCAAAATAGTAAAACAAATAAGAATATTAAGATAACTTGTTATGTAATAACATGCAACACGAATCGTACACAAACTAGTGAAACTGTTGCATGAGATGAAAAGTAGACTAAGATTACATGATCTTGAATCCATGGTTGTTGTGCTGCATGTTATCAAATAGTATCAACTGCAATTTTGTCGCAACAATTCATATTCTAGCTTTTGTATTGGACAAACAGTGAACATATGCAAGAGTCATTTGCTTCATACCCATTACTGCTTGAATCAGTAGTTAATACTATCTTCTATTATTATTTCACTCAAGGAGATAAATAAATAAAGTTTTGGGTAGTGCAGAGGCAAAAGGAGAAATAAAGAGGCAAACTGAGAACACATCCAACACAGGAGACCTTAGAAGCAAGAATATTCACCTGGATTCCTATATTATAGAGCATCCTTACTGTACTGAACTCTGTTATCCATCTTCCTTCTCCAATTTCAAAATCAAGGGTGGTGCTGCAAATAAACAGTTCAAGAGAGAAGAGAAAGAAGTTACAAACTCATATACCGGTTTATCAAAAAAGTGCAAAGCAGTGATGTTTACATGGCCATATAGAAGTAAGATCATAGCAGTATATACCTTCCAACTCTACCAGCAACATGGCCATGGGACTTTGAGGAAAAACTCAAAATAGGATGTATGTCGGGGCAGTGCTTGACCCTATACTTATATAGTAACTTCACCATGGATGCATATCTGTCATGTATGCAAGCAGCAGGTCGGCCAAGAGAAAAAATGTGTTGGCTGTAGGAAAGATAAATCATAACACAAGAAAACCATGGATACATGTATTAACAAATGCCATTAGGAGCGTGACCAGCAGCAAAATAACATCAAAGGAAGAATCTTGAATGATACAAAACAGGAATTGAAATATAGTGCATTTTCCAAAAGGATACTAACCCCAAAGCCCATAATTAATCAGCCCATAAATATATATAAAAACAGAAGCCTCCTACGTGCATAGATAATAATGACCTAACATGGCCAATGGCAAGGAATTGCCTCACAGCATATCATGACATCAAATGAGAACAAGGCATCTGTTTCGATCGCATAGATCCTTCCTCAATCATTAAGTATATCATAAAAGCAAGAATACCAAACCTGAAAGTCTGTGAGGTATGATGAAGCAACAAACAAAATACTAATTGGCATTGTACATCTATTTTCACTAATGTGATGGCACAACCCAGAGCCTACCCGTGTCTCGGTTCTGATAAAGTGTGTAATCGGAAAACTATTTCAGTTCTGCAGAGCAACCCAAACCATGTAGCCCCATCTACTCGTTGTAGAAAGATTATCCGCTCATGAGGACCGGGACAGCAATAATGAAACCAATTGGAGATTATCGAGTTCATCTTATACTTCCTGGATCCATGGGAGCACAGACATGTATCTTGTACTATTATTGAGAATACATATTTTAAGAACATCAATCTCATAGTATAACACAGGAAATAATTTGAATGCAGAGTACTCCAATATAGAACATATAACCCTTGGATTAACTGCATAGAATGAAGGGAAGGGAAGGGTCGGACCTGTCCTTGACGAGCTGCTCCATGGCGTGCCTCTCCTCACGAGCACAAGCAGGTCCTGTCCCGATGCGGATCTGGCCGCCGCCAACATGGCCCGATCGCTAGGGTTGGAGGAAGGGAGGGCATGGTGGTGCTTCTGCTGCTGGCCGCACCTACAGAGACGACGAGAGACGGGGGATCAGAGAAAGAGTCGGAGAAGAGATGGGGGAGTAACACCATACCGCCGTCGTCAAGGTAGCCACCGTCGTCGTCGTCGCCGTCTATCACCATGGCCCGGCGGCTAGGGTTTCCAGCGCGAAGATTGAGGGAGGGAGGGCGGATCTGAGCGCAAAGAGGGAGGGAGGGTGGGCGGATCTGAGCGCGCGAGGGAGGGAGGGAGCTAGGGTTTCGGGTTGGCGGCGGCGGGCGTGGGGGGGAGGCGACCAGGGGAATCGGGCAGAGAGGAGAGAATGAGAGAGAGGGTGAGGGTCGGCTCGGGCAGAGGCTTTGCCTCCTCAGCCGGCTAGGCTGGTGGGCCAGAGCGCCAAGGCCCAGTGGCCCATATGGCCTTTGCCGTCAGCCCCAGTACGCACAGACGGCAAAGACGGGCTCTCGTTTTCCCATCGTCACCTGCATACATTTTGCCGTCTTTAAATTTGCCGTTAGCTAACATCTGTCTTTGCCGTCAGCTGGAAGAAACACAGACGGCAAAGTATGATTTTGCCGTCAGCAAAACAAAAACAGACGGCAAAGTATGTCTTTGACATCGGTTGTCCTTTGCCGTCAGCCACAGACGGCAAAGTATGTCTTTGCCGTCTGCCACGATGAAAAGCTGGCGGCAAAGTGCAGTACTGACGGCAAATTAGCGACTCCCTCATGATCATAATGAGACCTAGCCACAAACAGCATGTAGGGTTATTACCGGATGATATTTTTCCGGGCCCGAAGCTGTCTCAACCCTTGTCTTGTGTTGCATCTCTCGATTCTGCTCAACCCCTCTCAAGCTACCACATAGGTGCGTTGGCCTCGCGACTAAGTCCTCACACTAAGGACACCTGCCGTGACAATTCCACGACAGTTGGCGCCCATCGTGGGGCTTGCGCACGGTGGTGTTGAGTTCTTGAAGGGATCTCTCTCAGGGTCGAGAGGTTCGTGAATTTTCGTATGAAGAAAGACGGTTTGAAAGGATCTACATCAGTTTCAAGTTCGTCAGGCTAGATTTCTGATCTATGAAGTTAAAGAGTTAAAGAAAAATTTAGGGCTGCACCGTGAGCCGCCGCCTTTGCAGCCGAGTCCGTGATGAGAGTTTTTTCTGGTGGTGGCAGTGTTCCGCGATCCATCAATCGCAGGTTACTTGAGACGGACAGGAAATCTTCCGTTGTAGTTATTCTGACCAATCCGTCAAGTTGTGTTCGTTGCTCCACGCCTCCGCACATAATCTACTGATGAACCAAGTCCCGAGGCAAAAGTGGTACTACTACTACATCTCATGCGAACCAAGTTGTGTTGAAAGTGCTGCTAATCGTACTTGCACTGGTTTAAAAATCAACAAAAGGAGCGGAGGCTTACAGAGCACCCGAAGATTATGCGCGAGCGTGGACTGGAAGGAGTACTACAACAGATTCATCATCACGTGAAGACAAAAGGAAAGGAAAAAAGAATATAGCAAGGACTCGGACATGACTCAATCAACTACGACCCGGATTATGCTTCGTGGCCGAGTCGCGCGCAGAGCCGCCTCCTCTATGGCGGGTCAACGCCGAGTCGCGCCCGGTCTCGCCCCAAACGATGGTCGGGTCTCTCTGCTGCCACTTCAAGTGCAAAGCAATCAAGCAAAAGAAAAAAAAAATATCCACGCGTACATGTATGGTTTTCTATTAAGATATTTGTGTGAAGAAAATTGGAGTTTCTTAGACGAAACTTGTTGATCCGAGTAGCCGAGGTCAACAAGAAGTCTGCAGCCGGCCGGCACCAGTGCATGGTCGCCTTTTCCGTCGAGCCACTGCTCCTCTGCCACCGAGTACTACTGCCACCCGGTCGTCTTCACTCGCCGGCGTTGTTAAGCCGCCAGCGCTGGGCCTCAACTCCAGGTTGCTAAGCTGCCCCTACTGTAAAATTTCCTTGGCTGCTGTTACTGCTTCCGATGAGCACTGATGAGCACTAATGAGCGTCTCCCGCTGCTCCCTCCGCTGGTGTTGCTACTGCCTTGGGCGTCGCTGGCCCCGTGCCGCGCCGAGCTATTGAGGGACACCCAAGTTCAATGCATTGCTTGAGGGGCGTGGCTTACTTAAAAACTGGATGGATGCATGGTGATTTGTTCGGATGTGAAGGCCATCATTTGATCGAATTGCTATGCAGTCACTTTATCCGAAAGACACATCGGGGCAATTATTTATGACAAAAAATGATACTATACCGCGGAGACGGAGGCACGCCAACATCTTTTGGCACAGGTGGTCGTCGTTACTCAACGGTCTCCCGCACCGGCTTACAACGTCGTGGCCGTCTCTCGCGACCGCGCCGGCTTACAACACCGTGGCCGTCTCTCGCGACCGTGCTGGCTTACAACTCCGTGGTCGTCTCTCGCGACCACGCCGGCTTACAACAAGGAGGACGACTCGCCCATCCGCACCGGCTTACAAATGTTGCGGCTGATTCATCTGTCTGCTCCCGCAGCCGACTCACCCGTGAGTGATTTCAACCTAACCTAGTGATCATCAACTTCATGGCGGATTATTTCTGGCCTGACACATCAGGTGATATCCATTTTAAATATATTTTATTGGCACATATTATTTTTGTCAAAGAGCAGTTTATCTTTGCCTTGGTTTGCAATATTGTTGATGCAGGACAATTGTTCACTACATCAAAACGACGCGGTTGACTCGCTTGCGCCGGTTTACAGCACCGCGGCCGATTCATCCGTTTGAGCCGCCTCTGATGTGGCGGTCGTCTTTACCGACCGTCTCTCACGACCTGGTCTACATCAACACACAGGGCCACCCTTTTCTGGATGAGCTGTTTATTGGGTAAGAGTAAGTCACTACTTGGGAAGCCCGGTTTTCTTCCAACAAATTGGAGGCAAATTATCATATATTATCAGCCGCCGTCTGCACTGGATGGTTCAATGGGCAGGTGCACAAGTCACCGCCATTACAGTTTGGTTGACTTCAAACAGCCAGTTGGAAGGAACCATTGGCCGAGCTGCTGACACGGCTCATACGAGATCATTTATAACCCATCGCAGTCACCTCAACACCAATGATGTATACCTTCTACTATGGTCAAATATGGAGAATCTCAAGCCAACTCCTCGAGTAGTCTTGAGACTCGGGGGCTACAATGGTATGCTCAGCAAAATTAGCCGGTTTCAGTGAATTCAAGAACTCTGGGTCATTGAAGGAAAAAATAACCCGGGCCCCGGAGATTACTGCTAGATCGATGAAAATTTAAAAGCCGTCAGAAGATTTCCGGCTCAAAATAAGGACTCTGGTTTAAAATACAGTTCAATAGACATCTTTCTCCCACAAAGCATTGAAGCTCTCAAATCCAGTTCAAAAGGTGGCCCAGGGTAAATTTGTCCCTCACAAATTTTTGAAGCTCTCAAATCCGGTTAAAAATCCGGCTCAAGGTAAATTTGTCCCTCACAAATTAATCTCTCGCAAACTCGAGTTCTAAGAAAAATTAAAGGTTACCAAAAAGAACTTGCTGCCATGATGTGCGGTTCAAACATAGGTATCCTGCCTTACGGCTTATCTTATTATGGTCACTTGGGGGCTTTCTGCTCATCGAGCATAGCTGTCGGTACCCTCTTGATCGGTGCAATACTAATATATAGTCACTTGGGGGCTTCATGTTCAAACATAGGTCGTATTCGAACCAAAGAGAACATAGCTGTCGTAACCCTTTTGATCAGCGCAAAGCCAAACTCACTAGGGGGCTTCTTGATCGTATCCGAATCATAGCTTAACCCCTTTTGGGTCCGACTTGGATCGTATTCGAATCAGGGTCGTTAAAAACCTCTCAAGGTCATTTGGGGGCTTCCTGTTCAAACATAGGTCGTATTTGAACCAAAGAGAACATAGCTGTCGGTACCCTCTTGATCGGCGCAACGCCAAAGCCACTGGGGGCTATATGATCGTATTCAAATCTGAGCTCAACCCCTTTGGAACGGTTTTCTGATCATATACGAATCAGAAGCCTTAAATTTTTTAAAGTCTTTTTTGCGAACAATTTTGGTTTGGGACATTTACATCTATGCCCCTAAT